CTTATTGGGAGGCAGTATAATCTCCTTCCTGGGGGTAAGTGCTGGCCCCAACCCTTAATATCCCTATGACCTATCTACAAACTCAACCTTTCTGCTTCTTGTCCTTTGCTATAAAGTGGTGATAATAATAATCATGCCATCTCCAGGGGTTGTGGAGACCATTCAGTGATGTAGCAGATGAAAAGCACTTAGAGATGTACTTGGACAGCACCTAGTAAATATTAAGCAAACAATGGTTTTATTATTATGAAGCTTTTGCTGTGTGAAAGCCTTGTGCTAAGCAGTTTACATGGGATTATTTAACTAGAGTTTTCCCCAACCCTTTGAAGTAAAATTGTTCTTCTACCCATTTTATGGGTGAGTGAACTGAGTCTTGGAGATATTGACTAATTTGTTTAAATATGTAGAATTAGTGGTGCTATCATGTTACATTGAGTCTAATAATATACTCGATGGGTATTTCCCTTCTCTAATTCAAAAGAAATCATTGAGAAATTGCTAAGGTGACTGGGCTGAGGAAGATGAGATGTAAATAGTGAGGTTTTGGTTAACCTCTTAAGAAGATCCAGTGAGCAGTTAACATATATCCCAAACATTAATGACTTGATCAGAGATCAGGAACCCTTTTTCTTGTTGGATTGCATTAGGAGAAGGGCTACTGCCAAGCCCCTGGGGGCCAGGGAGCTTGCAATGTGGCTGGCAAACAGCTTTCAAGGGCAGAAGCAAAGCTGACTATTCTAATTCAATACTTCTTAACACGGAGGCTGCCTTTGCCATCCACAGCCATTTGTTCCCTTTCTTCACTCTCCAGTCTTTTACCTAAAAAGGGTTAAAAGCTGCCCTTTCGGATCACAGCCAGGACTTGACTGAAAAGGCAGAATTCCACCTCTGGGCATCCCAGAAGGGCAGCAGTTGTCCAAAAAAGCTGGCCTTTTGGCGTCTAATGTGTCTGCTTCCTGTATGAATGCCCAAGTCGGGGGCTCCCGGCTGCTGGCTGCCTGACCTTCACCACAGCGCTGACTTCAGATGTTGCTCTGACATGCAGGAAGTCGTGACTCTCAGCCACCTGCAACTAACTCGATGCCCACCCGATGGAATGCTTTGTTCTTGAAATCTGCCGGGAAATCAGGACTTCTGTTATCACTCAGCCAGAGGTGGGGGTGGGGCCCTCAGGCGTAGGAGCTGAGACTCCCCTGCCCTCTGCACTTCTCCCTGTCATGCACACCAGGATGCTGCCCGTCCTCCCGTCCTGGTCCTGGTACTTGGAGTCTTAAAATCGAGGCCTTTGGAGAATATGCGGGCCTCGTATCCCACACACCCAGTCTCCGCTGTTTGAGCATCTTCAGTGTTCTTCCATCTTCATTTTCTTGACAATCCTGGTGGCACTGGGTTTTGTTTTGTTTTTATTATTATTTTTTTTTATTTTTTGTACAAATAAGGACATTGAGGCTTAAGGAGCTAAGTGACTTGCACAAGCCATCCAACTAATCGATAGAACCCAGTTCTGTCTGCTGGGATCCAGTGTTTTCCCCTTTGTCCCCTCTTCCTTCCTGTTCTTGTTACCCCTTTTATCCCCTCTGGTGTGTCCTCACTCCCTGCTGTGTTGGCTAGCAGTGTTTCTTAACCTCTGTTGACATTTGGGACCAGATAATTGGGGAGCAGGGGCTGTCCTGTGCACTGGAGAATGTTTGGCAGTATCCCTGACTTCTGCCTACTAAATGCCAATAGCATCACCCTCATGACAACCAAAATGTCTCTGTGCATTGCCAAATATCCCCTGAGGGGCAGAATCATCCCTAGCTGAGACCCACTGATGAAGACTTAAACCTCTTCACCAGGCCTCCCTATCAAGGGGATCTCTGTGTCAGAGCCTCATTGCATGAAGTTATTCTTTGCTGTTTAATCCACCCATGGTTCCTTAAAGGGGGCCTGTACTGCAATGAGCCAGTGTTCCTCAGGCTCTGAATGAGAGAAGCTTTACCTCTCTTCTCAGCGCTCAGAACAGTCCAGAAAGCATGGGGCTGGGGCAGCTGAGTCTTCGATGCTTCCCTGGGGAAGAATCCTCTGGCCTGCACTTGCAGAGAGAGCCAGAGAGACGGGAGCTCTGGGCTTGCAATGAGGCCCTCTTGTGAGGTGTGGGGAGATTCTGCACTCCCAGATGGACTCCCTTGCCTTCTGCAGGAAATCCTTCATCTTTTCTAAGACAGCTGGTTCCCTTAGTATGAGGAGGGGGAGGGCCACACCTCAGTTGAGAATCTGGTAGAAATCTGTGGTCCCTTACCCCAGAAACGTACATTTTGCCGATAGCTTTAGAGGTTCATAGGTGTCAAAGGTTGTCCGTCTGTATGTCCATCCATCCATCCATCCATCAATTTGTTCATTCATCCATCTCAGATTAGGAGTGTGTGCCTTGTGCTCACACTTACCCTGGGGGTTGAAGTGGAGAGAGATGGGTCCAGGACTCTCTCCTAGCTTTTGGAGGGCTTGGTAGTTTACCCTTTCATTCTGGGTCTTAATCCCTAGGTCAGGCCAAGTAATTGTTATGGGGAGTGAGGGTGAGCATCAAGAAAGTGAAGCTGGGTCAGGTGAAGAGTAAGGAGAGGAGTGGCGATTGGGAGCTGACTCCTTCCCAGTTCCAGCCCAGCCTGAGGGCAGGGCCTAGTCAAGGGGAGGAAGAGGAGAAGAAAGCTAGGGGGAGAGATGAGCAAGGAGCCTGGCCCCCTCCTTCCCCAGCTGCAAGCAGCCCAGCCAGCGGGCTAGATGAATGCTGGGAGGGGGGAAGTGACCCTGGCAGAACCCTTTGTTCCAGCTGAGGCTGGAGCAGGGGCACTGAGCCATTCACACGCCATCCCAGGGCATCCTGCTGGGCACGCTGGGGAGGGGGCACAGCAGCCGGTCATGGGACTTGGCCAGGCAGATAGCTTGATGCTCAATAGGGAAACCCAGCTGCGTGCTGCTGAGGCTGGGGGAGGGGCTGTGTCTGCCGGCCTTCCTCTAGGCCATGGCCCTGATTGGGTTGAGTTACTCTGCCCTGAGGTGGCCAGGTCTTCTCTGCCTCAGTCCCCTCTTCTCTTGGTCACCCTCCTCAAAACTAAGGTCTGACCACCTGCGCCTGGCACCTGCTGGACTCCTTAGCTAGAGTTACTGGTGTGGGGATTTCTCTGCTGCTTGAAAGAACCTTTACAATCTGCCAGGCATGAGGGTTTTTTCTTTTGCTAAAGAGAATATCTATTTCCATAAATACTTTCTGAGGATCCAGTTTTACAGTTGCCTATTAATATGAGCAAAAGAATTCCCCCAAATTCTGCAGTGCCTTGATAATGTGGGTCCCAGTCATAACTGACAGACTGCTTCCCAAAGTCACCTTTCACTGGATGATCCTGGGAGGGCACGTCTTTTGACCTTATGGGGATCTGTTTCTTCCAGAGGTATTGATTTAGTAACTTTGTAGAGGGAAATTGTCCCTTTAAACAACTAAAATATGACTATTAAAAGGAAAGACCTTAAATGCCTTGACGATGATAAAAGGATAGCCCTCATCTTTACTTGGTCTCACTAAAAACTCTCCTTTGCCTTTCCTACTGGAAGTGTTCTAGAAGAATTGGATACCAGGGTTAAAGGGCAGTGGGGCTCTTCAGTCCATGAGCCCTGCCCATTTCAGGCCATCTCCAGGTTGCTGCAGGCTCTCAGTGCGAGCCATTGGAATTCTCACTGAAGCCAAGTTGTTTTAGGATTGCTTTTCTGTAGCATAATTTTGGAGTGCTCTTAAAATTTTGAGTCTTTAAATTATACCCACTGGGAAGTGAAGGTTACACTATAATCACTTCACATGTATCCTTCAGTAGGTTCTGCTTAATTTTTATTTCATTTTTGAGAGTTGAATGCCAGACTTTCCTTTAGAAGTGTCCAGTGTCCCATGAAAGCAGACTCCCCATGCCTTCCATGACTTCTGTTGGGTGCAGAAATATCTCCTGCCACTGACTGGGAACCTGCTTGAGCACAGGATGCTGACTGCCTCCCTGGGCTGGCTGAGGGTTTCATGTGGGTTCTTTTGGTCATGGAGATGATCATTTGACCTTGTGTGACTGTTGGGCATGGTTGTGTTTCCTGTTTCAGTCTGTTCTAGTTCCTTACACCTGATTATCCCCCATAATGAGTCTTAGCAGACACCAGATTCATTTAGAAGCCATGTGTGCGTGTTGATACCAGCTGCTGCATTTAATTTTTAACCTGGGCTTACACTGCATTGTATTTTTATGATCTTACATGAAGAGACTCTGTACTATGAGTAAAATTTACTCTCTCATAATGTGTGACTGTGGGTCTGTGTTAAAGTGTCATCTATATTCATGCAAAAAATGACTGGGAATGTTTGCTTTCTTTACCCAAACTTAGTGAGCTTTGCTTTCAGATAATCTTTTATTCAAATAGATTCAAGTCAATCCTACGATGGAGTAGTTATTACAATAAATGTAATGAATATGTCTACTAACAACAAAAAAAGAGCAAGTTCTGACCGTGGGACTGGCCGGCTGCTTCCTGCTCCCTCTGTGACTTCTTTAACCTAATGAGGCGCCACTATTTAAACTCCACTATTATTCTCACCCTCCCTGGTCAGCGTGCCAGGGTCTATTCTTGGATAGAGGCAAAAGCATTCATAATCTAGTTTTGAAGAGGCATATAGAGACCTATCAACTTCACCTGTCTGTTCTCAGCCTTGCTTTTTCCAAGAACATCAACCTCTAGGTAGCACCATTTGTCTCTGGGCCTCTGGAGGTGCTGTGCGAAAAAGCCCTGTCATGGACCTGGTCACCTGGGCTGTCTGTGAGCCCCAAACCAGAGGGTGTCTTTTGGACCATTTAACCCCTGGATGGGGGTGGGAGGCACAATCAGATCCTTTGCATCTCCTTTGCAGTGTCACCATGGCTCCCTGGGTGATAGTGACCAGCCATAGGCTTTGAAGAGCAGGCACCGAGTCCCCCTCTTTCTCCTCTGCCCAGGTCTGGCCAGCAGCCCTGAATGTGCTTGTGGTAGAAGCCACTTTACCTGTGCAGTGAGTGCCCTAGGCGAGTGCACCTGCATTCCTGCCCAGTGGCAATGTGATGGAGACAATGACTGTGGGGACCACAGCGATGAGGATGGATGTAGTAAGTACTGCCCTGCTGTGGTTGGAGGTGGTGGAAAAGGGACCTGGGAGTGGGACCAAGGACAAGGCTGACGAGTGTTCAATGCATCTACTGCTTTGGACCAGGAGAGGTAGACTCTTGCTAGAGTGACAGGTATCGACCGAGCAGACGTTTCTTCACAATATATATGCCTCCAGTTGTCCCATATTTGGGTAGTTCATGCCTATATGCTCAATAAAACAAACCTGAAACCAGTATACAAGAAAATGTTCTTGAAACCATAAGTAGTCTCTTTAAATAGATCTCACTATATTTATATGATTTGTATATGTGTTCTGCAAATTTGTGCATTTAAAAATTTATGTACTGGGCTGGGGTTTTGGCTCAGTGGTAGAGTACTTGTCTAGCATGTGGGAGGCACTGGGTTCAATTCTCAGCACTGCATATAAGTAAATGAATAAAACAAAGGTCCATCAACATCTAAAACAATATTTTTTTAAAAAGGTACACGTTATACATGGATGTGGGTTATTTCCACGTTTCTTGTTCTGGTGCTCTGTATAGTCACACCTTTTTAAAAATAACATTATAAGAAATCTTATCCTCTATTTAAATTTCCCTTTTCCCCTGGCATAGTAACATATGGACGATGGCCAGGGTGTCCTGTCTTGGATATATAAAAATATCACTGCTAAGCCAGTTTTCTGGGTTCAGGAATAAAATCTCTGACCTGCAGCCTCTATGTCTGGGGGTGGCTAATTGGCCTAATGAGAATGAGCCTACAACCTAGACATCATTAACCCTAGCCATTTTAGCTAATTGTGGTAATGATAAATGCTTCACTTTCATAGAGCACTTTCATATGCATTATCTCAAAAGACCTCTATGAGCTGGGTGTAATTATCCCCATTGTACCGTCGAAGAAACTACAGCTCAGAGAAGGTAAATGACCTGCTCAGTGTTATAAATAATGAGCTCTAGAACTGGAAATTGAGCCCAGATGTGTCAATCATCGTTTCATAAGGGTAAAAGACTTGCCATGTTTTTCTTGCTGCTGTCTTAGTGGCTTTGAGTTCTCTGGGTTCTTCTGCTTCTACCCTGTGGGTCTCTCATCATGCTACTCTGTCTTCCCAGCTGCTTCGCTTCCCCATCAGTTAGAGGCAGGCGTGGGAGTCCACAGGGCAGGGCTACAGGACAGGGGATTTGGAACAAGGGTATTGGGAAAGGATTTCTGGCTCATTTTAGCCTGCCTGCCTGACTCACTTTTCCATTCTTCTGGGACTCAGTGCTGCCCACCTGTTCCCCTTTGGATTTCCACTGTGACAATGGCAAGTGCATCCGCCGCTCCTGGGTGTGCGATGGGGACAATGACTGTGAGGATGACTCGGATGAACAGGACTGTCGTGAGTGTTGGAGGGGACCAGACTCCACCGGGCTCTGTTGGGAAAGGATTTTTAATCAGAAAACGATGCCCCAGGCCCACATGAACTCTTGGGTTTTCAGCAGTTTGTCCCGTCCTTAGACCTCCTTCTCTTGGTCAGATAAGCCCCTGAGAGGCCGGCCACCTCCTCCTGAGCCCCAGGGGCAACCCCAGGCACCTCACCCCACTGCCTGCAGCAGCCTGACTGCTCTGTGTCCACAGCCCCCCGAGAGTGTGAGGAGGATGAGTTCCCCTGCCAGAATGGCTACTGTATCCGGAGCCTGTGGCACTGCGATGGTGACAATGACTGTGGTGACAACAGCGATGAGCAGTGTGGTGAGTGGTGGGCTCTCTAGGGAAGCAGGCAGGGTTGGGGGGCTGGAGAGGAGTCTGACCGAGGGAGGAGATAGCAGCAAAGGCCCCAATACTGCTGCAGGGATCTTGGAGGAATGCAGGAGGGGGGAAGAGTCCAGGCTCCCAGGAATCGTGGCCCAGGAACCTGAGGCCAGGCTCTCCTGGCCTTGATGTCCTCCAGAATCTGCACTGAATCTGTGGGTTCTTCCAGGGGCTTCATCAGACACCCTCCTCTAGGGCCAGCGAGATTTGGGGGTCAGGGAGGATGGTAAGAGGGGTGCCTGTGGGACTCTGTCTGTTGGCATGACCGTCCCCTTGCATTCCCCAGACATGCGCAAGTGCTCCGACAAGGAATTCCGCTGCAGTGACGGGAGCTGCATTGCCGAGCACTGGTACTGTGATGGTGACACGGATTGCAAAGATGGCTCGGACGAGGAAAGCTGTCGTGAGTGGCCCCAGACTTAAGGCCACTGGGCTGGGCGAGGGAGAAGGCTCCATCCCCGGGTCTCAGGGCAGGCCGAGGAGTGCGCTGCAGTGGGCAGGTGGGGGATGCTCAGGAATCAGCTCCTGGGCTTACCTGGGGAGGTGCAGATGCGCCAGGTGGTCCACCTGAATATGGCAGTCTGCCAGGGTCATCCCAAATGAACCCCGGTCGTATCTCACTCAGGAAGTCACTCTGCCTGAGCACCTTGCCCTTTGAGGGGTAGGGATCCTTCTCATCCGTGAGAGCCTGAGTGTTTGCCCCCGCTCCCTGCCCTCCTTCCAGCCTCAGCAGTGCCAGCGCCCCCCTGCAACCTGGAGGAGTTCCAGTGTGCCTACGGCCGCTGCATCCTGGATATCTACCACTGTGACGGCGATGATGACTGCGGGGACTGGTCAGACGAGTCTGACTGCTGTGAGTGCTCTGGCCAGTGGGGAGGAGGGGAGGCCAGGCTGGAAGGAACTCCTCCAGGGGCAAGGCACAGGTGCCAGTGGGGGCAGGTGCTCAGGACAGGAGTTTCTGGATTCTCTGGTCTCTAGGGCAGAGTTAGAGGACTGGGGTGCTGGGAGGGGCAGGAGTTGGGCTTTCTGGTCTACCTTGGGACACTGTGTGCACAGACTAGCTAGAGACAGAAGATGTTTGTTTCCCCAGCCTCCCACCAGCCCTGCCGCTCTGGGGAGTTCATGTGTGACAGTGGCCTGTGCATCAATGCAGGCTGGCGCTGCGATGGCGACGCGGACTGTGATGACCAGTCTGATGAGCGCAACTGCAGTGAGTGGAAAAATGGCTCCAAAGCCTGAGGGGAGTGTTGTGGAATCATAGAGGGCATTACCAATAAAGTTTGAAGACATACTGGATGGCGTGTAGGGTTGTATAAGTTGTGCACTGCAGTGGCAAAGGGATGTTAGTCACATAATAGATGTCCCTTTTATAGCAGTAAAATGCTTTGAGGAAGGGGCACCTTTTTTTCTGATTCACACAAAGATGCCACATAGACCACCTCTTGACACATGTGTCAAGAAGAGTGACATGGGTACTGATAGAAAGTGCAGCTCAGCTGTGAGTGGAAGGGTGAAGCTTGAGGCCGCCCTTTCATTAGGCCTTTGCTTCGCCCAGCCACCTCCATGTGTACAGCGGAACAGTTCCGCTGTCGGTCAGGCCGCTGCGTCCGCCTGTCCTGGCGCTGTGATGGGGAGGACGACTGTGCGGACAACAGCGATGAAGAGAACTGCGAGAACACAGGTGGAGTCTCCCAGGGGGCCCCAGATCCCCTAACCTACAGATGGTGGCAGGGGGTGGGGGTCAAGGCTGTCACTCCAGCTCTCCAGGTAGGCCAAGATGATGCTTCATTCAGATCCTTCCCGTGGCCTGGAGTTTTCCTGCCCTTGCAAGTGACCGTGTCGCCTCTGGGTGCACCGTTGACTACGGCCGCTCATGTACTAACTCACACAGCCAGTACCTTCCACCCTGGCCGAGTGCAGGGGGACCGGCTCTCCCCTGACACCCCGACGCCCGCTCCCCTGCCACATCTAGCACTGCATATGTGTGTGCATTTTATTATTCTGTCCCACATCCCTCATCCGCTGTGGTGTCCTGGGGGGTGGGAATGCAGACATCCAGCCTGTCTTGTCTGAGCTGTTTCCTGCCGTGGACCCCAACCCTCCCTCCTTGATGTCATCTGTCTCTAGCTCACCTTAGAAAATGACAGGCTTCCATCCCTTGTTGACCTAAGCCCTGACCCTCCCTTCCTCCCTCCTTCTCCCCCCTCTCTCTCCAGGAAGCCCTCAGTGTGCCTCCGACCAGTTCCTGTGTTGGAATGGGCGCTGCATTGGGCAGAGGAAGCTGTGTAACGGGGTCAATGACTGTGGTGACAACAGCGACGAAAGCCCACAGCAGAACTGCCGTGAGTGTCCCTGGTGGGCGGTCCTGGCCTGTGGTTTGTGGTTGAACCCCACCCATAAGGTTCAAAGGGAATCCTCCCTAGGGACTCTTGCACTTTGGGAGCTGTTCTTCATGGTCCAGGTGGAATGCCAAGTTGGCCGTCCGGGGGAGGATTCTGGGCTCAACTCCCAACTTTGGCTTGGCTGGCACAGGGCCCCGGACGGGTGAGGAGAACTGCAATGTTAACAACGGTGGCTGCTCCCAGAAGTGCCAGATGGTGCGGGGGGCAGTGCAGTGTACCTGCCACACAGGCTACCGGCTCACAGAGGACGGGCGCACGTGCCATGGTGAGCTGGTGTGGAACAGAGTCAGAATGCTGGGCAGGGACAGCAGATAGACAGCCTGTTTTAAGGGTCAGGCATTAGATGGATGTGACCTTATATTATTATCACAATAACCCTAGAAAGTGGAGATCATCCCTCTCATTTCACAGATGGGGAAATGGAATCTCAGAGAGATTAAGTAACTTACCAAAGGCTGCACAGCTAGTGAATAGCAAAGGTGGAATTCCAGCCCAGGTTTGCATGGCCTCAAAGCCTTTAATGGCTTATTACACAGCTTTCCCTGGAAAGTAGATGGGAATGTGGGGAAAAAAAACAGCTAGGCAGCCTGGGAATTGGGGCAGGAGGATGGCAGAAGGGGACCTCCTGACCCTGCCTGGCATTTGCAGATGTGAATGAGTGTGCTGAGGAGGGGTACTGCAGCCAGGGATGCACCAACAGTGAAGGAGCTTTCCAGTGCTGGTGTGAAGCAGGCTATGAACTACGGCCCGACCGGCGTAGCTGCAAGGCTCTGGGTAAGGGGTGTTTGTATTTGGCTGGGTGAGCATTGGGACTGAGCATGGAGAAGTGCCATGTAGACAGGCATAGTGGCACATACCTTTAATCCCAATGACTTGGGAGGCTGAGGCAGGAGGACTGAAAGTTCCAGGGCAGTCTCAGAAACTTAGTGAGACCTGCCTCAAAATAAAAATTAAAAGGTCTGGGATACAGCTTAGGTGATAAAGCACCCCTGGGTTCAATTCCCAGTATGAGAGAGAGAGAGACAGACAGAGAGACAGACAGACACTGAGACTTCAAGTGCTCTGGAGCTCAGGGATTTGCTGAGAGGTGGAAAGATTGGGGTAGGAGAAGTTTCCACTCTTCTAGGATAGACGCCAGCAGCTTGAGGCATGCTTTAGTGGGCAAGGGGCCCCATCTGACAGTTGAGGACTTGGGGGAACATGTTGATGAGTATGTGGTAGCTCTGAAGCCCAACTCTGTTTCTATACTGTGTCCCAGGGCCAGAGCCTGTGCTGCTGTTTGCCAATCGCATCGACATCCGGCAGGTGCTGCCACACCGCTCTGAGTACACCCTGCTACTCAACAACCTGGAGAATGCCATTGCCCTTGACTTCCATCACCGGCGCGAGCTTGTCTTCTGGTCCGATGTCACCCTGGACCGGATCCTCCGAGCTAACCTCAATGGCAGCAACGTGGAAGAGGTTGTGTCTACAGGACTAGAAAGCCCAGGTAGGCAACAAGGCCCCCTAGAGAGGGACAGGGCCACACTGTCTGCAAAGCTATAGCAGAAGGGGCAGGATGGTGTTTGCAAACCTTCTGCAGCTGAGCATCTCTTCCTCTCAGTGAAGTGTTGGGTAGAACTCTGACATAGAAAATATTTGTTAATATATATATAATAAGTTCATAGGTTTAGATATAACATTTGGTGAATGTCATAACTGGAATTAGAGACTTGCGGACAGTTACAGTTATCTATCAGCTTCAGCTCACTTGTAAGTTTTGTTTTGATTGCTTAGTATCAAGATTATTCTGATTGGTTCAGATAAGTATACCAAATGTTTTATAGATTTAAAAAACAGCAACATCTTACTTGGCAGTCTCAGGCTATTCTACTAAGTAGGTGAAGTGAGTTAGAATTTGGTATTGGGGGCTCAGGCTGTAGCTCAGTGGTAGAGCGCTTGCCTACCATGCAATAAGGCCCTGAGTTCAATCTCTAGCACTGCAAAGGAGAAATGGAAAGAAAGAAAAGAAGGAAGAAAGGAAGGATTTGGTTAAGAGCAGAGTTGACTCAAATGCTTTGGGAACTTCTGAAATGCCTCTACAAAACCTTAGGTGTCAATTTGCAAACCCCACCTTGATGCCAGTAGGGAGAACTGGGGGTGGGTCAGGAGCCAGAATTCAGCAAATGGCATGTGATTGACGTTGCACCGTGCCTTGACTTCTCTGTGCCTCAGTTTCCTCATCTTCATGGGAATCATAGTACCTAATTCATAGATTTGTGATGATTAAATGAGTTATCATATGCAAGATTCTTACAGTAGTGCTTAGCCCCGGAAACTGCTTTAGTTTCTCTTGTTACTAAGGCACACAGGAGCCCCTGCAGAATCCCTGAAACTTTTCTACTTTTTCCACCAGGGGGTCTGGCTGTGGATTGGGTCCATGACAAACTTTATTGGACTGACTCAGGGACATCAAGGATCGAGGTGGCCAACCTGGATGGGGCCCACAGAAAGGTGCTACTGTGGCAGAACCTTGAGAAGCCCCGGGCCATTGCCTTGCACCCCATGGAGGGGTGAGTAGGTTGGGTCTCAGGCTTCCAAATCCCTCTTGCAACCTGTAGGGGCAGTTCTCAGGACACTTGACCAGTCTTCACGGGTGTCTCCTCAGAGTGTGGTGTGCATCTAGACACTCCTAAGTCTATAAACCGGCTCTGCAACAGCTGGCCATGTGGCCTTGGGGTTGTTAATCTCTTTCTGCTCCCTTTATTCATTTCCAAACTGATTATTAAGGAAAAATAAATTCTGCTTCATAGTTGTGTGAAGATTAAATGAGAGAGGCATTTTAAATATAATACAACATACATGTTAGGTAAGTTTTTAAGTCATTAGTTTTTTTATTATTAGCTCATAGGGTTGAGCCAATTAATAAAATTTATTAATTTAAAATAACTAAAAAGCTAACAGAAAAAAAATCTCATGAATCAAAGCCTCTAAAAATGGAAGTTCCTAGCTTCTGGCTTTTTTTTTTTCTTAAAGCTTCTCTTTTATTTATTAACTTTATTTGTTTGTTTATTTATTTTTTAACATGGTGCCAAGGATTGAACCCAGTGCCTCACATGTGCTAGGCAAGTGCTCTACCACTGAACAACAACCCCAGCTCTGGCTTTTAAAACTTCAATGCCATCAACTGAAGAGATGTCTTATAAGATCCTTAAGTTTCATGTTAACTGTTGTAGAAACTCTGTTTGTGCTGTGCATGGTGGCACACACCTGGAATCTGAGCTATTCCGAGCTACTCAGGAGGTTAAATCAGATGGTTCACAAGTTTGAGGACTTCCTGGACAATTTAGTAAGCTCTGTCTCAAAAAAAAAAAATAAGGGGCTATGGCTCAGTGGTAGCGCACTTGCCTGGCATGAGTGAGGCACTGGGTTGATTCTCAGCACTGCATATAAATAAATAAAATAAAGGTCTATCAACAACTAAAAAAAATTAATAAATAAAAATTAAAAATAAACCAGTATTAAGTGGTGGTACACACTTGTAATCCCAGTGAGTCAGGAGGCTGAGACAGGAGGATTGCAAGTTCAAGGGAAAACTTAGCAACTTAGCAAGGTTAGTGAGACCCTGAATTAAAATTTAAAAATTAAAAGGGCTGGGGATATAGCTCAGTGGTAAAACATCCTGGATTCAACTCCAATTAATTAATTAATCAAATCAAATAAAAACAGGTAGCTCAGTTGGTAGAGCACTTGCCTATAGTATGTATGAGGTTCTGGGTTCTACCATCAGTGCCAAGGGCCGGGTGCCGTGGTGCATGCCTGTAATCCCAGTGGTTCAGGAGGCTGAGATAGGAGGATTGCAAGTTCAAAGCCAGCCTCAGCAATTTAGCAAGGCCTTAAGCAACTTATTGAGACGCTGTCTCTAAATAAAATATAAAAAGACTGGGGATGTGACTTAGTAGTTAAGCACTCCTGAGTTGAATCCCCAGTACCAAAAAAAGAAAGAAAAAAATCACCAGTGCCTTCTAAAATGTAAAGAAAAAGAAAAAAAGAAACAAACTGGGCATGTAGATGTATATAAAATACAACGGCAGTGAAAGAAACTGTGAGAAAGATGAAAGTACCTGTCCTAACTGATATTACACTATATTGTCAATTCCATAAGCTTTGGGACTTTGACTTACATTGACCTATCACTGGTATATCTCAGCCTAAGATAGAACTGTCTTTTTTTTTTTTGTCTAGAAACATTTAAATTAGAATATTTAAAAAATACTCTCTGGACAAACAGCTGGAGTCCCTGGGTTAAATAGCTTGAAGCCTCTGTCTGATTATTAACCTGTTTACTACCGATCCATCCTCTGCTGCCCACCTCCCAATTTCTTCTCTTCTTCCCAGTACCATTTACTGGACAGACTGGGGCAACACCCCTCGCATTGAGGCCTCCAGCATGGATGGCTCTGGACGTCGCATCATTGCAGATACCCATCTTTTCTGGCCCAATGGCCTCACCATTGACTATGCTGGGCGCCGCATGTACTGGGTAGATGCTAAACACCACGTCATTGAGAGGGCCAACCTGGATGGGAGTCATCGCAAGGCTGTCATTAGCCAGGGTGAGACCCTTCCCCACTCTCCTTCATCTCTCATGCTTTCCCCTATCCCTGCCTCCCGGAGCCTTGGCAGAGGGTGAGATTTGTACAGTTGCCAGGCTTGGGCCCAGGGCCATGCAAGACCATGTCTGGACTGAGGTCTTTCTGGACTTTCCCCAGGCCTCCCTCATCCCTTCGCCATCACGGTGTTTGAAGACAGCCTGTATTGGACAGACTGGCACACCAAGAGCATCAATAGTGCTAATAAGTTTACTGGGAAGAACCAAGAAATCATTCGCAACAAGCTGCATTTCCCTATGGACATTCATACCTTACACCCACAACGCCAGCCTGCAGGTAAACACCTTCACAACAGGTGAGGCAAAATAGCCTCATGGATGATGTGGCTGCTGGAGCCTCTGAGAAATTTCTTGTAATTTGCAATTTTTGCCGGTTTTTCTGATGGGAGGAGGCGGGGACATTCAGGGCTGACATTAACACGGGCTCATTCCTCCCTCTGCTGGACACTTAGGGTAGTACAACATCAAAACTCACCAGACTCATTGGCTTCAGTGTTCCATTTAATTCATGCAAACATTTACAGGGCCTCTCCTCTGTGTCAGGTACTCACTGTGCTAGCTGCTGGGGCAGATATAAAAAGCAATAAGACATAATTCTTCCCTCTGGGGAGTTTACAGCCTACTCTCTGGCCTGATGGGGGTATGTTTGGAAATGGTTAGTCTTAACGGGACCCTTTGCTCTGGGTTCTTTGAACAGGGAAAAACCGCTGTGGAGACAACAATGGAGGCTGCACCCACCTGTGTCTTCCCAGTGCCCAGAACTACACCTGTGCCTGCCCTACTGGCTTCCGCAAAATCAGCAGCCATGCCTGTGCCCAGAGTAAGTGGGTCTGGAACACCAGCCTCAGAGGAAGTGCCTTGTGCGGGTGGGTGGAAGGAAAAAGACATGTGTTGGAGGGATATCCTGTCAGAGGAAGAGCCAGTCTCCTCAATAGCCAGTGGAGAGGAAGAACTTAAGAGGCTGGGGGATCCTATATCAAAACTGAGGACTGAGGGCCCAGCAGTAGTTGCCAAAGGCTCAGTGACACCACCCAGTCGAGTATGAACACCTGCAACCAGGCTTATATTTAATTTCACCAGGTAGGATGCCTCATCTCTAGGCAGAAAGAGGGTTTTAGGCTCTTCTAGAAAGCAGGGGAATGATTTCCAGACTCTTTATTTTTAGCCTTATCCCCAAAAGAAAGTTTTGAAACTTTCTTTCAGTGTTTAGATCAGGGAGCCAAAATTAGAACACTCAGAGGTTTCATTTCAGACACACTGATTGAGAACCTAGTGTTGTGCAATGCATTTTGCCCTTGCATTCTTCTTGCTCATCTCTTCCTCTGTTATCTTAGTAAGAAGCAAAATGCTTCCCCAAACACTTTTCTTTGAGGGTTTCCCAGAGCTTGGAAGAAAAAAGATGGTAAAGTTGGGTTTTAGTTTTTTTTTTTGGGGGGGGGGGTTTCTTTTTTTCTTTTTTATTTTTTTGCAGTGCTGGGGGTTGAACCCAGGCCTTAGATGGTAAAATTAGGGAGGAAGTGTTTTATGGGCAGAAAAGTATATAGTTGAGAATCTGTGGGTTCCACAATTGCAGATTCAACCAACTTTGAATATATGTATTTAATGTATATGTGTGTGTATACATATATGTGTGTGTGTGTATATATGTATATATATGCAGGTACATATTATATATGTATAAATTGTGTCTGTACTGAACATATACAGACTTTTTATCATTCTTCCTTAAACAATAAGTGTGACAACTATTAACATAGAATGTTTTGCATTTGGAATCTCCAGCATCAAATCAATAGTAAAAATATTGAATTAGGTATTTTAAGTTATCTAGAGATGATTTAAAGTATATGAAAGAGCCAGGCATGGTGGTACACACCTGTCATCCCAGCAACTCAGGAGGCTGAGGCAGGAAGATTGCAATTTTGAGTCTACCCACAGTAACTTAGGGAGGCCCTAAGCAACTTAGCAAGACCCTGTCTCAAAATTTAAAACAATAAAAATAAAAAGGGCTGGGAATGGAGCTCGTGGTAAAGTGCCCCTGGGTTCAATCCCAAGTACCAACAACAAAAACCAAAACCAAACAAACAAAAAAACCTGAAACTAAAGTATATGGAAGGATATGTGCAGGTATATACAAATACAATGCCATGTTATAAAAGGGACTTGCAAATTTTTGTGTCTGTGGTGTCTTGGAACCAATGTCCTGCAGATACCAAGGGATGATTGTACTGGGAAAATATTCAGACAGACCAGAGTAAGGGTAGAAGATGGAGAAGAGTCTGCTGGGAAAACACTGTAGAGAACAGTGGGCAGCTCTTCCTCTGGAGTGGAACTGAGCCCTGCTCTGCTGTCTGTTGCTGTGAGATTCTAGGCAAGTTACTTGGTCTCGGTTAACTGAAGAGATGCTCATCTAGAAAATGAGAACAAGAATAACATGTACCACAAAGGGTTGGTGTGTCTGCCTGTCTCACCTGATTAAGTCCTTCAAGGACAAAAATATGCCTCAAATCTTTCCTGAGCATTAAGCTCAATGCCTGGGAAGGAAGGTGCTCAGTGAATATTGGCTAAAACTGTGATGAGAACAGCTAGAGGAAGGATCTAGATGATAGAGGAGAATCAGAGCCCCCAAAACAGTGGAAGCAGAGCAGCAGAGCTGGCTGTTGGCAGTAATCCAGCCAGGCACTGGAAGAGACCTGGCAAAGTCAGAAGAGAGAAAAACTTAGACGAAGCTAACAGACACGTAAACAACATGTACTTCTGGGACCTGGGTAGAGTCTGTTTCCATTGGATTCTAAGACTGATTCTGCCCAGTGCTCAAGGGGACCTGTAGTGTGAAGAGTAGGGGGCAAAGGGCACCAGATCCCAGGAAGTGTGATTGACCAGGTGTCACGCAGGTGAGCGTCTGTGTCTGTCACTGTTACTGGATTTAGAGCATTAAAAGAAGACCCCTCTCGGCCTTTGATCAGGTCTTGACAAGTTCCTGCTTTTTGCCCGAAGGATGGACATCCGTCGGATCAGCTTTGACACAGAGGACCTTTCCGACGATGTCATCCCACTGGCTGACGTGCGCAGTGCTGTGGCCCTTGACTGGGACTCCCGGGATGACCATGTGTACTGGACAGATGTCAGCACTGATACCATCAGCAGGGCTAAGTGGGATGGAACGGGACAGGAGGTAGGTCCCAGCATGGACCCAGGCTCTCAGGGAAGGCAGAAATTATGGGGAAGAATCCATCCTTTCCAGGGTAAGGGCTTCCCATACCTTGAGAATTTGTGGAGTTTGGGCTCTAGAGCTGGAGTGAAAATACCATTGGCGACACAATTTTGCTTCCTGCATAGGTGGTAGTGGATACCAGTTTGGAGAGCCCTGCAGGCCTGGCCATTGATTGGGTCACCAACAAGCTATATTGGACAGATGCAGGTATGTAAAAGGGGACCTATGGTCTGGCTGCCTGGGGCTCCTCTTATATAAAACCTTGGACTCAGGTAAAAGAGCCCAGTGCCTCTCCTGGACTGTGTCTCTCTTGACCTGAAGTCCTTGGTAGGCAGAAGGGATAGGGCTGCTATAGAGTTAAAGCCAGAAGCTCACATCTGAGGTTAGACATTTGTTAGGCAAATGGCAACTATATGCATGATGTAATTGATGCTTGGAAATGTTTTAAAGCATTTCAGATGATGAACCAATGCCCTGTAGTTTTCTTTTCATCATTGTCTGGATAAAACCATTTCAGGTGGGTATGAGAGGCAAAAGGAATGCCTTAAACCAATGCTACTCAAACTGTGGTCCCTGGACCAGCAGCATCAGCATCCCTTAGGAAGTTGTTAGACATGTGTATTCTGGGGCCTCACCCCATACTTACTGAATCAGAATCTTTGGGGATTGGATTCAGGAATTAGATTAAATTAGATTAGATTCTGTAATTTAACAAGCTTTCCTAATTCTTAGGCATACTAAAGCTGGAGAATCATTGCCTCAAATTATAAGACAGAGTTGGTTGCCTAGGTTTAGAAGTCTTGGTTTTCTTTTTTTTTTTTTAATTTTTAAAAATTTGTTCTACTTAGTTATACATGACAGCAGAATCCATTTCAACTTGAAGCCTTGCTTTTCTAAGAAATGAAACTGATCACTTTCTTGAATTTCTTATCACAGTTTAATTCACTAAACATGTTTTGTGCATCTATCACAAAATATTTATTGAGCATCTCTTGCATGCCTGCTGTCTGCTAGGAATGGAGGATAAGGTGAATGAACAAGACTAGAGTTCATATCTTTGCCCTTACTTCTTGGTAGGTACAGACCGGATTGAAGTAGCCAACACAGATGGCAGCATGAGGACAGTACTCATCTGGGAGAACCTTGATCGTCCTCGAGACATCGTGGTAGAACCCATGGGCGGGTGAGTGCTGCCACTTAGGAGCTCCATTCTCCCCAAGATCTGAGTACTGGAGGGGAGTCTGTTGATTAGGGAGAGAAGCCAGATTTTGGGCATATCAAAGATGCAAGGGTAGGGGCTGAGGTTATGGCTCAGTGGTAGAGCACTCATCTAGCACGTGCGAGGCCCTGGGTTTGATCCTTAGCACCACATAAAAATGAATAAAATAAAGGTATTATGTCCAACTACTTCTAAAAAATAAATATTAAAAAGAAAAGATGGGGCTGGGGATGTGGCTCAACCGGTAGCGCGCTCGCCTGGCATGCGTGCTGCCCGGGTTCGATTCTCAGCACCACATATAAACAAAGATGTTGCCAAAAAATAAAAAATAAAAAAATATTTAAAAATCCTCTCTTTCTCCTCTCTCTCTCTCTCTCTTTAAAAAAAAAAAAAAAAAAGATGCAAGGGCAGCTGTAGAAACCACAGAAGGCAGTGACAACCTTGTCTCTTGTCTGGACAAGGAAACGGTTTTTTTTTTTTTAATATTTTTTATAGTAGATGGACACAATACCTTTATTTTACTTTTATGTAGTGCTGAGGATCAAACTCAGTGCCTCACATGTGCTAGGCAAGCACTCTACCACCTGAGCTACAACCCCAGCCTTGGACAAGGAAACTTTAAAAACTTTCTTTATTTTTTGTAATTATAAAAAAAAATACTTTGTTTGCTTACAAAAGTAACTTGTTGTCAAGGAAAATTAAATCATAGAGAGTGAAAATTCTCTATCATCTCACTGTCTAGCAACAACCACTGTTAACAGTGTGGGATATTTTTTCCAGATTTTCTTCTAAATGTATATAAATACTTGGCGGTGGTGGTGGTTTTGGTTTTTTAAATATGGCATACTGTTTTTGGACTTGGGTATTTTTGTTTGTTTGTTTTTTACTTGGTTGAGCTATATATTTTGTATATATTTCCTTTTAAGTATATAGTTCTATCTTGTTCTTCATGGTTATATAGAATTTGGTTAAAATTATATACCATAATTACTTAGCCCACCCAATCAAGAAAGTGTTTCTTAATCCCTCTCCTCCCCTCCCTTTTCTTTATTCCCGAGTAGGCCTCATTTGCTGTATACTCTTGAGCCATGGGGCTCTGCCTTTCAATAGTGATAGAAGATACAAAGACCTCTGGGGACAGCTCTGATCCCAGAACTGGGCTGGGCAGTGAGGCAGGAGGCTGGGGCAGCTATTGTTGACAGAAACCCCTAAAACCCTGAATATCCCGGATTCCCACTGGATTTTTTTTTTTAATATTTTTTTAGTTGTAGCTGGACACAGTATATTTATTTTTATGTGGTGCTGAGGATTGAACCCAGTGCCTCACATGTGCCAGCAGGCACTCTACTACTGAGCTATAGCCCTAGCCTCCCCCTGGATATTAACTAGAAAGCTTGTAAGACATGCCTTGCCTATGCCCAGGTACATGTATTGGACTGACTGGGGTGCAAGTCCCAAGATTGAACGAGCTGGCATGGATGCCTCCAACCGCCAAGTCATCATCTCTTCTAATCTGACCTGGCCCAATGGATTAGCTATTGACTATGGGTCCCAGCGGCTGTACTGGGCTGATGCTGGCATGAAGACAATTGAATTTGCTGGACTGGATGGCAGCAAGAGGAAGGTAAGGGTGTCAGTAAGGCCTCTTTCCACAGCCCCAACAGCCTCCAGGACAGACTCCCTGGCTGGCAGCTCAAAGGAGCTAGGTAGGGGGACCTTGAGGTAATGAGATGAGCGTGGAACATGTGCTGTTTCTCTGAAGCTGTGGCCACCCTCCAGAACTGGAGTAGGGGTGGGGACTGCTGGTTGATGGTGAAAGCAAACTAGGGATTTGTGTGTTTTGTGGGCTGGGGTTATAAATGCACAGGCCTTCCTAATACCCATCATAGCTAACACTAATTAGTCACCAGTTGCACACCAGGCCCATGATTGATCTCTGTTTGGTTTTTGATATCATTTATTTTGTTATAATTCCTGACCTTCAGAAAAATGGCAAGAATAATAAAAAAATATATAAATAACCAAATTTTGCCACATTTCTTACACTCTTATTTTCTTTCACTTGCATGCATGCACTTTTTTCTGAATCATCTGTGATTAAATTGAAGATATCCTGCTTTTGATCCCAAAATATCCCAGTGCATATTTCCTAAGAACAAGGACTATGTGTTACATAGCCATGGTAAAATTATCAAAATTGGGAAATTTAACATTAATATAATATTAATATATATTAATTTTGATAATAGCCATGGTAAAATTATCAAAATTGGGAAATTTAACATTAATATTGCTGTATACTCCATAATCCATGTTCAGTTTTACTATCAATTTCCCAATAATGTTCATTTTTTTCCCCTCCGGAATCCAATCCAGGATCACTTATTGTATTTAGTATTTAGCATCTTGTCTCTTTAATCTCTAATTTTGGAATACTTCCTTAGCCTTTTTTTTTTTTTTAAACTGGGACTGAAACCAGGGTTGCTTAACCATTGAACCACATCCCCAGACCTTTTTTGTATTTTATTTAGAGACAGTATTTTATATTTTATTTTGAGTTACTTAGGACCTCACTAAGTTGCTGAGGCTGGCCTTGAACTTACAATCTTACCTCAGCCTCCTGAGCTTCTGGTATTACAGATTACAGGCACCACCATGCTCTGTCTTTTTTGACCTCTGCTTGCTTGCCTGCTTTTTTTTTTTTTTTTAATATTTTTTAGTTGTCAGTGGATTTTTATTTATATGTGGTGTTGAGAATTTAATCCAGTGCCTCATACATGCTAGGCAAGCACTCTACCACCAAGCTACAATCCCAGCCCCTCTTTCTTTCTTTGTGGTACTGGGGATTGAATTTAGGGCCTTTTGCATTTTAGGCAAGATCACGATCATTAAAGTATATCTCCAACCCATTCTTTGCATTTTTAAAGTGTAAAAGCCAATTATTTTGCAGAATACTCCTTGATTGAGTTTGTCTGATGTTTCCTTCTGATTGGATTCAGATTATGCATTTGGGGCAGGAATACTACATTTAGTGGAGTCATGTCCTAAGTTCTGTATGTGTCTCACCAGTAGGCACAGATGTAGGCTTGTCCCATTATCCTGATGTCTATTTTATTGCATGGTTAAGGGGGTGTTCACTGTAAAGTCTCTATTTTTCCTTTGATTATATAAGCAATACTTGATCTTTTAAAATCATCACAAGATAATTGGAGCCATGCATGGTCATGGTTGTTATCACAGATTGGTAGATCAAGGTGCAGAGAGATTATGTAACTCTCTCTTAGTCAAGATCACACAGTAAATGGTAGTGGCAGAGCTGCATTTGACTCCATGCCCACCTCTTGACTGCTGCTCTGTAATGTCAGACCTTGTTGGGGATGACACAAGTGCTGGGTTCCTGGCAGGTGCTGATTGGAAGCCAGCTCCCCCATCCTTTTGGGCTGACTCTCTATGGAGAGCGCATCTATTGGACTGACTGGCAGACCAAGAGTATACAGAGTGCCGACCGGTTGACTGGGCTGGACCGGGAGACCCTGCAGGAGAACCTGGAGAATCTCATGGACATCCATGTCTTCCACCGCAGGCGGCCTCCAGGTGAGCAGCCCTTAGTCTGCCATGACTTCTCCTCAGCCCTATTATACCCTGGCCAGCCCCACTGACCTCCCTCCTCCCTATCCAGTGATCACACCATGTGCTATGGAGAATGGAGGCTGCAGCCACCTATGTCTCCGGTCCCCAAGTCCAAGTGGCTTCAGCTGTACCTGCCCTACAGGCATCAACATGCTTCCTGATGGCAAGACCTGTTCACCAGGTGAGTAAAACCATAACATCTGGGATGGAAAATGGCTTTCTTCCCTGCAGATATGCTCCAATGTGGTCTAAATCCTGGTACTTCTAGAAGCTTAGGGGAGAGACAGAACTTTTAAAAGAGGAGGGAGATCCAGGGGAACACATAGACAGGGTCCCACTGCTTCTTACATACATGCATTTTAGAAAAAGATGTTCCTCTCTCAAGACTCTTTCCTTGCATCTGTTGTAAATTTGTAACATGCTGATTTGGTTAGAACAAGACACTTGACTTCCTTCTGCTCAGGTATAATAAATACAAACAAGTATCATATCTACGATATAATGATACCTCCCTAACTCCTTTAGATATGCCACTTTTGCATGCATGACCTATGTGACAACCATAAGGGGGTGGTCCCAGAAGCAGGACCTGGCTACTGAGATGTCGGAAGTCAGGGTTTTCCCCTAGGAATGCTGCATGGTGGGCTTCATTTGAATTCGAAACTCCCAAGGAATTTGTGTGCATCAGTTATAAGCATACAAATTATAAGGTCCTCTGGGGTCTGTTTACTTCCTTTCTTAAACTTTATGATAAAGGGTACTTCAAAGAGAGCTGCTTTTACATGATATTAGTAAAGAGATATCATTTACAAATACATGGGCGACCTAATGCTCAGTTCTTTGTGAACATGATCTCTTAATCTTTACAACCACCCTGTTATTATCCTGGTTATATATATCAGAAAACCAAGGCTTAAATAATTCCAAAACTTGCCTAGGATCGTACAACTAGAAACTAGCAGCGTCAGGGCATGAGCTTCAGTTTGTCTGACTCCAGATCCTCTTGTTGGTTTTTCTGAATGATTGTGCTCTCTCCTCTTTCCATTTGAGCAGGCATGAACAGTTTCCTCATCTTTGCCAGGAGGATAGATGTACGCATGGTCTCCCTAGACATCCCTTATTTTGCCGACGTGGTGGTGCCAATCAACATTACCATGAAGAACACCATTGCCATTGGAGTAGACCCCCAGGAAGGTCTGTGTGGCCCTTCCTTCCCACCTGGTCTTCTGACCCTGCCCTTTCTTACTGTCCTTCCTTTCCACCTCCTTTGCATCCTGCTAAGAGCCTGGGGCTGCCCAGCTGCCCCCTCCCGATAGCCCATGCTCCTGTCTCTGCAGCACTTCCTCTCTGATTGTGGAGTCACAGTTTGGGGCCCTCCTTTCTCCATCTCTTCTAAGAGTTATTCTGTTAGGATATTTCTTTGTTTCCCTTGATTTCCTCTGCTAGGGAGTGTGGGGGTCTCTGAGAGGCACTGGTGTCTCAGGGCATGGATCAGCTGTGTGAGCCATTGGGGGAGGGTGGGGCCTGGGTTGAGCCAAGCCTTCCCTTTCCAGGAAAAGTGTACTGGTCTGACAGCACACTGCACCGGATTAGCCGTGCCAGTCTGGATGGCTCACAGCACGAGGACATCATCACCACAGGTGGGCCTTCCTTCCAGCTCAGGGACCACCTGTCTGGCTACAGAGCTGGAGAAATATCCCATCTGTCTTAAAGCAGGAGCCAGTGTGATATTCTGACTTTCTGCAGGGCTGCAGACCACAGATGGGCTCGCGGTGGATGCCATTGGCCGGAAAGTGTACTGGACAGACACAGGAACAAACAGGATTGAAGTGGGCAACCTGGATGGGTCCATGCGGAAAGTGTTGGTGTGGCAGAACCTTGACAGTCCCCGGGCCATTGTTCTATACCATGAGATGGGGTGAGAGCTGACTCTTGCTCTGGGTAGCTGTATGGGCTGGCTCAGCTGGGGCTATGGACAGGGTGAGGTGGGCAGTGGAGAGCTGGAGAGCAGGCATGCCTCACAGGAACATTGTGAACTCTGAAGGTCAATGTAGACTGGCCTCTCTGGGACTGTTCCACTCCTCTGTGGCTCCTTCAGGGTGCCAGCTCAATATAGAGGTTATAAGTCTGAGCCTTGGAGTTGGAAGACTAGGATTTATATTCTTTCATCAAGTATTAGCTGTGTCACTTTGAATCTAGTACTTAACCTCTCTGATCCTCAACTTCCTTACCTGTAAAAAAAGGGATACATACTTGGTGGCCCTGTGAGGGTTAAGTGAGATAATGCCTGTGAAATACTTTGCAAAGGGTCTGACATAAAGTCTTCATGGTACACAGTGGCTGCCAGAATAATCAGCTATTATTCTTCCTCATTTAGGTTCATGTACTGGACAGACTGGGGGGAGAATGCCAAGTTAGAGCGGTCTGGAATGGATGGCTCAGATCGAACGGTGCTCATCAACAACAACCTAGGATGGCCTAATGGACTGACTGTGGACAAGGCCAGCTCCCAACTGCTGTGGGCTGATGCCCACACTGAGGTGAGAACTCTTCCCTGGTGCTTCACAGAAGCCTCGGAAGATGGAAAAGGCCTGTCCAGCATCTGCACTGAGGGTTCCCAGTTGACTGACAGCCACCTCCCACCCTCTTCCTCTCTGCAGCGAATTGAGGTCGCTGACCTAAATGGTGCCAATCGGCACACATTGGTATCACCAGTGCAGCACCCGTATGGCCTCACCCTTCTTGGCTCCTATGTCTACTGGACTGATTGGCAGACCCGTAGCATCCACCGTGCTGACAAGGGTACTGGCAGCAATGTCATCCTGGTGAGGTCCAATCTGCCAGGCCTCATGGACATCCAGGCTGTGGATCGGACGCAGGCACTGGGTGAGAAGACCCCTGGAGCTTGGGTCAGAGCCTCTGGATTTCTGGGGCTGTCTCAACAGCAGAGCTATATTCAGAGCACAGAACTCCTTTATAGTCAGAGAGACAATGATCTGCCAAAGCCCCCTCCCGGAACAGGCTCTATTCCCTCTGGGTATGGCTGGTACTACAACTGCATGATGCTGTCACCTTTAAAGGACTCCTGGAGACACTCCTTCTATATCTGTCTCACCCCTGCCCTGCCAGACACCAAATCCTGTCACATAGAACAGCAAGAAGTCAGCCACAAAAAAAACTGGAATCTTTATAAGAGTTGGGCAGTATTCCAGGCTGGGTGTGAAAGCTTGTGCTTCTCTTACCAGGTTTTAACAAGTGTGGTTCGAGAAATGGCGGATGCTCTCATCTCTGCTTGCCTCGGCCTTCTGGCTTCTCCTGTGCCTGTCCCACAGGCATCCAGCTGAAGGACGATGGGAAGACCTGTGACCCATCTCCAGAGACCTACCTGCTCTTCTCCAGCCGAGGCTCTATCCGGCGTATCTCACTGGACACCAGCGACCACACAGATGTACATGTCCCTGTTCCTGAGCTCAACAACGTCATCTCCCTGGACTATGACAGTGTAGATGGGAAGGTGTATTACACAGATGTGTTTCTGGATGTTATCAGGTATGAGTAACTGAAACCTTCAGGGGACACAGACCTGCTTCTGATCCCCAGGGGTGAAGTGACATTCTGTGTTAACGTCTAAATGGACTGAATGATTTGGCAATTTGGATAGTCAGTTCTAATTCTGACTTGTTCATTTTATAGTGTTATCATTTAGTGCAAAGTTCTAAACTTTTGTTTAATGATTATATAAATCTCAGACACTCAGGAGACTGAGGTAAGAGGGTTGCAAGTTTGAGGCCAGACAGAGTAATGTAGAAGGACCCTACGCAAACAATAAGTGAAAATGAAGATTACTATGTAGAAATATGTAAAATAAATAAACAACAATACATACACACACACAAAACAGATAAAGTTCTACCTACCACTGGGCCCTGAGGGAGCTTCAAGAACATCTAGGACTCATTGATAAGTGGGCCACATAAATAGCTAGTATGGGTATTGCAGTATAGGAGCCCTGGCCAAATGTCAAAGCTTACTGTGGTTGCAAAGTTGTTGTTTTTAATATTTTGGATTTTATTTTCATATTTTTATTTTATATTTTTATATTTTATGATGCCCTGCTATTAGTGCTAGTGATTTAACAGCTGGGAATGTGCTTGTAATCTCAGCTTTCAGGAGGCCAAGGCAGATTGCAAGTTCAAGGCCAGCCTGTGTAATTTATAATTTAGCAAGATCCTGTCTCAAAAAATGAAAAGGACTGGGGATGTAGCTTACTAGAGGAGTGCCCCTGGGCTCTAGGCCTAATACCACACACACACACACACACAAAGCCAGGTGTGGTGGCACATGCCTATAATTCCAGGGACTCTGGAGGCTGAGGTAGAAGGATCACAAGTATGAAGCCAGTCTAAGGAACTTAGCAAGACCCTATCTCTTTTATATATATATATATTTATTTTTTAGTATTTGGCGGACACAACATCTTTGTCTGTATGTGGTGCTGAGGATCGAACCCGGGCCGCACGCATGCCAGGCGAGCGTGCTACCGCTTGAGCCACATCCCCAGCCCCAAGACCCTATCTCAAAATAAAAACAGAAAGGTATGGGGATGTGGCTCAGTGGTAGAGTATCCCTGGGTTCAATCCCCAGTAAAATCTCCAATCTTTACAACAAAAAGTATAAGAAACAAACAAACAAACAAACAAACAGTTTACCATGGCTGAGATTCTCACATGGGAACAGTGGGTAGGTATCTGCTTTTGTCTCCCTGCGTGTGTATTGGAATCTCATGCTGGGGGCAGGTGGGCTTATGCAAGAACGAAGTCCCCCAGGTGATTATAATACATTCTTCATCCTGAAGTTGAGTTCTCTCGTGTAGGGCTTTGGCAGGTTTTGACAAATCTGCCTTATAATTATCTCCTACTGATCACTGTCTTCTCTCAAAGACATATGATGGATGACTAATCTGTCCTCTGGCAAGAGGTGAACCCTAAGGTCCGGATGTTTCCAGTTGTCAGGAAATACTCTGTCCTCCTAAGAATTCATTTATTCATTCATTCTGCAGATGTTTTATTGAGCAGCTATCATGCTGGGTGCTGAGGAATGTGCTAGTAGATACTTAGTCTCTGTCTCTGTGGAGCTTACAGTCTAGTGGGGGTCCAATTATGGATAAAAGGAGTTTCAGTTATTCTTGGTCATTCTGGTCACTCATCCAACCCTGGGCTCTCCCCAAGGCGAGCAGACCTGAATGGCAACAACATGGAGACAGTGATTGGGCGTGGGCTGAAGACTACCGATGGGCTGGCAGTGGACTGGGTGGCCAGGAACCTGTACTGGACAGATACAGGCCGAAATACCATCGAGGCATCAAGGCTGGATGGCTCCTGCCGCAAAGTTCTAATCAACAACAGCCTGGATGAGCCCCGGGCCATTGCTGTTTTCCCCAGGAAGGGGTAAGTTTATGGCCAATAGAAAAGAGATCCAGGGAAGAAAGGGTCTGGTAAGAGGCCCGTGAAGAGTGCCTATATTTTAGTGGTCTTGGTGTGTCCCCATAGTCTGTCAGCTTCTGGCAGACTATGCCTTGGTAACAATGGCACTATTGTGTCTCAGGTACCTCTTCTGGACAGACTGGGGCCACATTGCCAAGATTGAACGGGCAAATCTGGATGGTTCCGACCGGAAGGTACTCATCAACACAGACCTGGGTTGGCCCAATGGCCTTACCTTGGACTATGATACCCGCAGGTAGGAATCCTGCTCCAAATAGCCTCCTGGAAATTGGGTGGAGACTGAAGTAGGGAAAATGAAAAGATGGAAAGCCCCTGGAGGGTGGGAAGAGGAAGCAGTAAGAAGAGGGAACATACTCTTAGAGCAGGGGCTACTAAAGCCAGCCCCTCAGATGGCTTGTGTCTGCCTGGTTCTTGTGTTTTTGAGGGCTTTTAACATAGTGTGTCCTCTGCCTGGACCATAAGACCCACTTCCCTGTCTATTGTATTTGTTACTCATCCAATCCTGTGGACACTGGAATTTGCAATACCTGGTCTAGATTTTTAAAAATGCTGGAGGGCAGGAAGGAGAGGGGAAAAAGGCTCTGAAGCAGTCTGTTCCCCTTCCTAAAGAAAGGAAAGGGATCAAGGTCGCCTGGAGAATTGGCAGAGTGACCTCTTACTTTAACCTGGTAAGGGCCATGTTGACTGAACTCTCTTCTTGAAGACCATTTGTAAGAATTTAGCCTAAGATTTTTGGGTAGAGATCAAAGGGTGATCAAGTTGCCGAAGATGAGGCTGGCAGAGGCCCCTCTGAAGTCACTAGACTTTCTGTGCCTCCTAAGAACAGCCCTGGCCTCCCTACACATGAATCACCAACTTCCCTCTTTGGCTTTGGGACTTAGAGTAGTCTCTCATGACAGATACTTCTTGATGGCTGGCAGCACCTGCCAGTTCAGCTCTGGAGGACAAAGACAGGTCCTGAGAGAGAAGAGCTGGGCTCCTGGGGAAGCATTTGGAGCAGCCACTGTTCTTTCTTCTTCACAGGATCTACTGGGTAGATGCACATTTGGACCGGATTGAGAGCGCTGACCTCAATGGGAAGCTGCGGCAGGTCTTGGTCAGCCATGTGTCCCACCCCTTTGCCCTCACACAGGTACTGGCTCAGGAGAGAGGTAACTAAACCTCCTTGACTGGGTGTTTCCCTGGGGTTCTAAGCCTCCAAGTGCCTTGCTATTCCTGCTCCACCACTTCTATGTTCAAACAGTGGTGCACAGAATCAGCTGGGAAGCTTGTTAAAATGCAGGCTCATGGGTCCTGGCTATAGAGAATCTGCTTTGTCCTCACAAAGGACAAAGGATTGGGCCCAGGAATATGCATTTTAATAAGCTACACCATTGAGCCTAACATTGTGGTCCCAGCATTGGAGCTCAGGCAGCTCTTATGTAGTGGTTAAAAAACAGAGTTGGGGATTGGGGATGTGGCTCAAGCGGTAGTGTGCTTGCCTGGCATGCGCGGGGCGCTGGGTTCGATCCTCAGCACCACATACAAATAAAATAAAGATGTTGTGTCCACCGAAAACTAAAAAATAAATATTAAAAATTTTTCTCTTTCTTAAAAAACACACACACGCACACACACACACACCAAAAAAAAAAAAAAAAGCAGTTTGGAAGCCTCCAGCCAGTCAGTGTGTACTGTGCACCTTCAATGAGCCAAATACCTGAGTTCAGTTTCCTGTTTGTATTATTAAACAGTGCAACTTTGAGCAAGAAACTGAATCTCTCTGAGTTTCAGTTACCTAAAAAAAAATCAATAATAGTATCCCCCTAATATATACACAGGACATTAGCACAGTGCCTGGCACAAGGTAAACACTGCATATTATCTCTAATCATCTTGTTTATTTTTAGCTGCCATTTTTGAGAATTGTAACACTGTAAGATAATTTGGAGAAAGAAAGAAGATCTACCAGTCTTAGGCTAAATAGGGATTCTTAGTCATTTAAAATATTTTTCCTTTTTGACAAACATCATCTCCTTGTATTCTTCCTTCCTTCCTTCCTTCCTTTCCTGGGAATTGAACCCAGGACCTCAGGCATGCTCTGCCACTCAACTACACCCCACCCCCAGCCCTGTATTTTGTATTATATTCTATCAGCCAAAAAGATTTTGGCTACTTAATGATAGGCTAATACTGATAATGGTTTTTCAATCTACAAACTTCCCCTGGAGTTTCTGCTGTTAGACTGCTGAGTGGGAGAAAAAAACACCTTCTTTGTCCTTCCCCACTCGTGGTTGAGAATTTCACCATCAGTGCATTAGAAAGAGTCTGCAGAGGAAGTAAGCAGAGGATCTGGGTCAAGGCTTTGAGCAAAAGGCCCAAGAGAACAGGGATCTATGTGAACCTCCAAGTCTACTCCTGTTTGCTGAGCAGGGAGCAATTCACACAACTGACTGAGGACTGAGTGTGGATGCTACAGACTAGAGATTTGAGGCACATTTTTGTCCTTGAAGGACTTAGTCAGGTGGGACAGGCAGACACATAAACTAATTACCATAAGAGGATCAAAACTCACATGTGGAAGTGACTGCAAGGTACAGAACAGTTTGGAGAACTGTGTGGATTGGAGGGGATTTCCTGGACATGCCATATCTGGGGACGCACAAAAGTTGACCTAGTGGATGAGAGAGGAAGAGGGCATTTCAGCAGAAGGTGTAGCACATGCTGAGGCACAAAAGCTGCACTGAGGTCTGACTACTGAATGATATTTCTTCTTTTGGGTTCCATATTGAGTAGCAGGACAGGTGGATCTACTGGACAGACTGGCAGACCAAGTCCATCCAACGTGTTGACAAGTACTCAGGCCGCAACAAGGAGACAGTGTTGGCAAATGTGGAGGGACTCATGGATATCATCGTGGTTTCCCCTCAACGACAGACAGGTGGGCCCCTGGGTACTGAGCCTGCTTCCTCACCATCAGTGGGATTAGCTGTTAGTGAACCAAGATAATTAGGAGCCCTGGAGAGCCTTTTAGCTCACATTTGAAGCTCTTAGATCTTTTCAACCCCTGTGACTATTATTCCTTTCTTGCCCTATTGTTCCCGGGAGTGGAGTAATCCTACTTTTTGAGAAGTGTTAAATTGGGAGACCCAATTCTGTCCTAGACCAGACACTCATCTGCTTTCCCTCCAGGGACCAATGCCTGTGGCGTGAACAATGGTGGTTGTACCCACCTCTGCTTTGCCAGAACCTCAGACTTTGTGTGTGCCTGTCCTGATGAGCCTGATAGCCGCCCCTGCTCCCTTGGTGAGTGTATTGAATGGCTCCTGGAACAGTAGAGCCCCTGGAAGGGCAGGGGATCACCAGCCTCAACTTTGTCCTTCTGGGTGGTAGAATCCACCTTCCAAAGATTATGGAGTGGAAAGACTGCTGGCAATGTGTTTAGGCTTTGGAATCATTCAGAGCTGAGTTTGTCTGACCTCTGGCATTTAATAGAAGATAATCCAGGTCTCTTGATTCTAGATCTCTGCCATGATAGGCTGTGCTTTACTCTATCTTCCTGACCTTTATGGGCCATCCAGAACTATTAATTTTGAATCCAAATCCTTTTTATTTATAGAATCAAGTGAGGGTACCTGAGATTAGGGCAGCTAAAAAATTGCTTTATCAAGTCTTCCAGCTGCTACTCTTAAGACCATCTGTAGAGGCTTTGGACTCCAGTGGCCTGCTCTCATTCTCTTTTCTCTCCAGTACCTGGTCTGGTGCCCCTAGCTCCCAAGGCCACCAGCATGAGTGAAAAGAGCCCGGTGCTGCCTAACACCCTGCCCACCACCTTGCATTCTTCTACCACCAGGACCCGTATATCTCTGGAGGAAGTGGAAGGCAGGTAAGTAGGGTTAGTACAGGATTGAGGGCCCTTTGATTCATGTCACAAAGACTTACTAGCATTAGACCATTATGCCAGCAGAATTAGACCATAATACCAGAAGATGGGAGGAAGATCACATTAACCACCAGTCTCCACTATTTAGGACAATATTTAGACTTGTAGATTTTGCAAATGATTCCCTTTGTAGCTCTGAGGGCAAGAAGCTTTAAGAACAGCTTTCAAGAGAAATCACTTGGGAAGAGTCTTGCACATGCATTCCTCCTTCCTCCTCTGTCTCTGTGACACTTGCTCTTGTGTCACGTTTAGTATTTGATATCATTGTACAGTGATCTCTGAGCTGTGTAGCTTTATGACTTGGAACAAAAAATTTTCCCAGAGGTGTGGTGGCCTTAGCTTATAATGACCCTAGCTCTCAAACATATATGCATTTGTGTACACCATACACACCATTATTAAATAAGCAAGTATAACTATACACAGAGCTAACATCAAGTATAAAATATTTCATTAAATTGAAAGTGCTATCAGTTATATAATTCATTCTGATTTGAGAAATTAGACTGAAAACATGAACAGCAGCAATTATTAGATACCACTAAGTCCCATTTCTTACTTCAGAGATGTTAGAATATAGGAAACAAGGCACATCTTAAAATTGATGTGATAGGATGTTACACTCAATCTAGAGAAATTCTTCAGCATTTTTATTTATTTATTTTAAAAAAGCCTGAGGGGAGGGAAGGGAAGGGGGAGCATAGGGGTAGGAAAGACAGTGGAATGAGATGGACATCATTACCCTAAGTACATGTATGAAAACACGAATGGTGTGACTCTACTTTGTGTTCAACCAAAAACATAAAAAATTGTGCTCTATTTGTGTAGTATGAATTGAATTGCATTCTCCTGTCATATATAAACTAATTAGAATAAATAAAATAAAATAAATTTAAAAAAATAAATGAAAAAAATTTTTAAAAGTCTGGAAAAACAGATTGGAATAGAGAAATAAGTCCCTGTATACCTGTGTGGAATTACTCTTCATAATTTGATATCTATCTTTTCAGACATTTTTCTAATTAGAACAATTTTTTCTTCACTGAAATATTCTGATGTCTTTATTTTATATCAACTATAGCTTAAAATGTAATTGACACTTAATTTCAATTCTGAAAGCAGAAGCATACTAGTTCCAAATAAGTACTCTAAACTTAATGTCTCCCAAGTTTTAAGATTTGCACATGATCAAGCCCATATATTGTATGCTCCTCTCTCCCTTTGTAGTATAGTTTGTAATGAAAAGCAAATGCCTGAGGATAAACATATACCTTTCTCACTATCTTTGAGGTTCTGTCAGTCATTATTAATCTTGGATTTTCTTTGGTCCTTTTGGTTTTGTTTTTAAGTGCTGGGGATTGAACCCCAGGACCTCACCCATGCTAGGCAAGCACTCTGCCCCTGATCTATCCCACCAGCCCCTAGGTTTATTTGGAACATTTCTGACCTCTCCTCAGACCTTTCCTTAATGTAGGAGTACCATTTGAAGATTCAATGCCTCTTGGCTTCAGATGTTCTTGCAAATAGCTTTTCTCCAGGCCTGAAGGAGATGCCTTTAGTTGGCTGCTAATAATACCCCACAAAGCAGTTACCTTCTGAGCATTTTAGATTTGTTATCTGAGTGCTCCCTCTGGATGTTTTGTATTTTCCCTTATGACAGAACAAAGGGGAAACGAATATGTGTGTGTGTGTGTGGGGGGGGGATTAAATATATTTTAAACCTTGAAATATGTGGATCTTGTGATAATCCTTAACCAATCAGATCTGCCTGGCTAGCAGCTGCTTCCCACTCATCCTGGTAGTTTAAGAAAGCCTAGAATTGCTCTCCTTATTACTCTTTCTGCAGATTTCCAGTTCACTCTCAAACTGGAAAACACATTTAAACATAGTTTATCCACTGGCTGGAAAATAGTGAGTCACACCGATTTCTCTATTTCCTCCTCCTATCTCTCTATGCTTCTATATCTCCCACCTGTTATCTTCTCATACCTCTCTCCACTTTCCTGGAAAAAGGAGAGATTTTATTTGCATAAAAATAATCCTCATGTTCAGTTTTCTCTGCCCCACAGATGCTCTGAAAATGATGCCCAGCTAGGCCTCTGTGCACATTCCAATCAGGCCATACCTGCTGTTCCAGGTAAGCCCTGAGTACCCAACTGTTTTGGCAGAGAAGATCTAAGGAATCTAAGTGTCTACTGGTATGTTCCATAACCTTCATGGGGCCTCTCTTGAGGTTGATGAACTCTTCATAGAGTAGATTATAGATTATAATTAAAGCACTTATAGTGTGCTTTCCATATGCCAGGCATTTGGTAAGCCATATATATGCCATATATATGTAAGTGTGAATACAGTAGCCCTCCTTTTCCATGGGGGAATACATTCCAGGACCACCAGTGGATGTCTGAAACCTTGAGCAGTACTGAACCCCACATATACTAAGTTTTTTCTTATACATACATGCCTATGATAAATTAGGCACAGTAAAAGATTGACAGGTAACTAATAATAAGATAATTATAAAACATACTATAATAAATGTTATGTGATTGTGTTATCTCTCTTTCTCTCCCCAAAATATCATACATTCTCATTGACTCTAGTAATATTTTTGGGCTGTGGTTACCTGTTGGTAACTGAAACTGTGGAAAGTGAAACCATGTATCAGGCGAGGCTAACTCTAAGAGTACACACTATCATTCAATCTCCACCAGCCCCATGAGCAATTTAGGATTCATATTTAAGTAATGAGAAAACATAGGCTTAGACATTAAACATCTTGCCTTTAAGTCATGTAACTAACAAGAGGTAGAACTGAGTTTGGAGATGCTGGCTGAATTATAGTTTTCTTTTCAGCCTTCCCACCCACCTCTTATGGCTCTCATCTGAGAACGAGGCCCTCAGTATTCTCATATGGTATGGGATTCCACACATACAAAAGCCCTTCGAGCCAGGAGCAGTGTGCGCACGTGTCATTATAGTTACTTGGGAGGCTGAGGCAGGAGGATCATTTGAGCCTAGGAATTTGGAGCCAACCTGGGCAACATAGCAAGATCCTGCCTCAAAAACAAAACAAAACAAAAACATATGGACCCAACCCTTTATCTTCCCACCCTTTGCACCAGCACCAGCAGGATGATTATCAGTGATCCCAGCCTAGTGTGTCTCTGTTCTTCCTAGGTGAAGGACTTCATATCAGTTATGCCATTGGTGGACTCCTCAGTATTCTGCTGATTTTGGTGGTGATTGCGGCTCTGATGCTATACAGGTAATCTAAACTTTGCTACAGGGCCATGTGCTCTTTGGTCCTCATTAGCATATCTGGGATCTTCTGAAGCTCCACAATTCACTAAATCCAGCTCTGAGCAGCTTTGTTTCAAGGTTGGGTCCCTAAGCAGAAGGAAAGGATGGAAACCTGAATACTTACTCTTCTTCCCTGGTCATAGCTTATGCAATTTCCTCATTTAATGACCACAGCAAATCTACCCTTGGGATTTTCATTATAGGCTAAGATGCTAAGATGCTTACTGTGTTACCCAAGGTCACACAGTAAGAGGCAAAGTGAACTAACTCTAGCATCTATGCTTTTCATAACCCACCTTACCTCAAACCATTGAAATTGGAAACCATTTCCATCTACTCAAACATAATTCTTTACTACAAAATTGGTTGATATAGTGGTGCTCAGATCATCTTAGGAAAGTAGAATATATCATTTTCAGTTTAAGATCTTATATGCAGGGCTGGGGTTGTAGTTCAGTGGTAGAGCACTTGCTTAGCATGTGTGAGGCACTGGGTTTGATTCTCAGCACTGCATAAAAATTTTAAAAAAATAAAGGTCCATTGACAACTAAAAATATATTTAAAAAAAAAGATCTTATGTGTTTCTTTCTTTATATTTTCCCCCAAAAGCTTTAATACAGACCATAGCAAAAATGTTTGGATTTTACTGCTGCTCCTAGTAATAATAAAACCACTTACCATTTTATGGATATGTATCAATGTCCCAACTTTATAACACAGGTATTATTCCTCACTTTATAGATGAGGATCTGAGGCTCAGAAAGTTTAGATTATGTCTACCAAGATCCCAGGTAGTAAGTAACAGAGGTGGGATTGAATCTGACAACTGTCCTGATTCTAAAGTTCAGGTATTAGTTATCCCCATTTCTGCGTACAGAACTGAGTGACTTAAAATGACAGCCATTTATGGTCTCACAGTTTGTGTGGACCAAAAATGTGGATATGGCTTAGGTGCTTCTGCCTCAAGATCTCAATCCAGGTATCAACGAGGGTTGTGTTCTCATCTGAGGATTTGACTGTGGAAGGATTCCCTCCCAAGAACATCCGTATGATTGTTGGCAGGATTCAGTTCTTCATTGGCTGTTGGTTGGAGGCCTCCTTCATTAGTCCCTTGCCTTTTGGATCTTTCTATAGAACAATTTACACCACGGTAGGTTGCTCCCCTCAGAGCAAGAGCAAGAGAGAGCAATGGAGAGGGGAAATACAAACCCAAGAAGGGAGCTAGTTTCTTTGTAACCTAATGTAGTCTCCATCACTTTTGCATAATCTTTTCATTAGAAGCAAGTCACCAGGTCCAGCCTATATTCAACAGGAGAGGATTCAGAAGGGGTGATTACCAGGAGGCAGGGATCACCAGAACCTGTAGAGGCTGCCTCCCACACATAGGCTACAACTTCCCCAAGTTTTATCTCCATAAAAATATGAACTAAATTCTCATTTTTTCTCCTAAAGACACAAAAAATCCAAGTTCACTGATCCTGGAATGGGCAACCTCACCTACAGCAACCCCTCTTACCGAACTTCTACTCAGGAAGTAAAAATTGAAGCAATCCCAAAACCAGCCATGTACAATCAACTGTGCTATAAGAAAGAGGTAAAAATGGAAATTTATATTCAAATTCTTTTCTGGGGGGAGGAGGAATTGTGCTCCAGTTGCCTGAATGGATTAGTAAGGGAATACTAGGTGGCTCCTTCTACCATTTTGAAAGTTACAGTAACAGAAGAACTAGATGTAATTTGGATTTCTGGAGAGATCTAGAATCTTTGAGGGATTCTAGAACAAGATTAGAAAGATATCTTGGAAGATTTAGGTCGGAAAACAATGAATATATTATCTCCCTGCCAGGAGAGCTATTTTAGGAATCATAGGTTCTTTTCTTCCTAGAGTGTCACTCCCCTGCAGTGAGGCTGTGTCCCTATGAAACAAGGGAGCTCTCCTGGACAATGCCCAGAAAGCCCAAGAGCTCTTAAACTCTCCCTTTTCTAACCTCTGTTCCAAGGTGGTGGTCAAATCTAGGGTTGGGAAGGGCTGGTTTTTCATTATCTTTCCTCTTATCACAGGGTCTTCAGAGATTTCTCTAGAATTCTAAAGATTTATGTACTTAAAAAAATTCCTATGTTACTTCAATGGAAAATTATTTGCTGAATATTTAGTCAATAAAAATAGCCCCTTTCCACAAGGGATCTGCAGTAATCTGGGATATTGTTTTTCCTAGTCTGATATAACCTGTGTTTTCTTCTAAAATCCTGTAGCCTTCATCAGAAATTATTCCTTATGCTGGATGTAGTGGCACATGCCTATAATCCCAGTGGCTTAGAAGGCTGAGGCAGGAGGATCACAAGTTCAAAGCCAGCCTCAGCAACTCAGTGAAGCCCTAACTAAGCAACTTAATGAGACGTTGTCTCAAAATTAAAATAAAAGGGCTGGGGATGTGTCTCAGTGGTTAAGCACTGCTGGATTCAATCCTTTGTACCAAGAAAGAAAGTATCCCTTATAAAGACCCTAATCAGCCTATTTCTCTGGCTTGTCTCTGGGCCAAACCTGCTCTCATACCTGTAGGGCTCTCAGGCATAATGAATACACTTTATAAAGAAATCTTGTGCTTTCTGGATCCATGAATTCCCATATTAGAAAATCTTCCGTTACAAAAGTTACAAAGGAGAACCTGTAAGAACAGCTTGCAGTTTTGGGAATGATAGACTCCTCCCCAGTTAATATGGCTGAAAGAAAGATTACTGAATATTCTTGGGTTCATGGAGTGATGGATGCTTCAGAAAAGAAGCACAATGAGGGCCATTGGTTAGAAATGAAAAATGGGGCTAGGTACAGAGCTCAGTAGTAAAGAGTTTGCTTAGTTCCATCCCCAGCACCAATCCCCACCCCCCAAAAAAGAAAGAAACAAGAAAATAAAAATGATGTGATTCTTCTATTGTCTGCTTCTTCCTCAGCAGCTCTTTCACCCCTCAGATAGCCTTTCACCCTTTCTCTTCTGATTTCCTCTTGATTTCAGGTACCTGTTGCTGTGTGTGTGTAGGAGGGAATGCTGTCCCCAGAATTACTAGTGTCATATGCTACTCCTCTCCCTGACTTACCCATTGTGTCTGTAATGAGAACTCTTAATACTAATTTCAGCTTGGAGGGTGTGCTGGGTGAATGGGTGTCTCCATGTGTGCTTGTGTGCTATCTGTATCCCTTTGCATGACTGAGGGAACTGTCACTTCCAGAGGATAGGGACCATCATTAAAGCATCTAATACAATATCCTATTTAATGTAGGGGCTTAATAACTATCTATGGAATTGAATTGTTAGTAATAGAAAGCAATGGTTGCAAAAATCTGAACACAGCAATATACCAGAACCCAAGCTGTGGCACATTTACTCCTGGCAGTGGGAGCATGTTGATTGGTATCCTCAGAAACCAAGAAAAAAGGCTACCCTTTGAGGAATCCATAAAGGACGAAGCCTGAGCAGAATTCAAGGCTATCCCTGGAATGAACCCAGGGCTCATGGGAGCAGCCCACAGTAACCTACCCCGAAAGGTTATAAGGTTATGGGGCCTCATCAATGAAAATATGATGATTTTCTAGAGCCCTCCTATTGTACCTCTCAAGTTTTCTCCTTAGCAAAATTAAGAAGAGATCATTAAGAACAAATTAGCATATATATAAAGTAGTTAAAATCCTGAATAAATGCATGTTGAATTGCTTTTGCCAATTACTTTTGATTATTTATATCAGCATGATGTCCCATTAATAAACCACAGTAAAAATGTAATAGCAGCTAACATGTTTTTAGTGCGACTTAGTCCAGCATCCTAACAATTGCATTTTGTGTATCATTTCATTTAACCCTCACAGTAATTGCTTGTGAGGTGCAGATACTGTTATTCTCCCCACACTGCAGATGTGGAAAATGAGTTTTAGAGATGTTAATTAATTTGCCCAAGGTGATATATCCAGTGAGTGGCTGATGCAGGACCGGAAGCCATCATTCTCCACCCTGTATGATAATGGTAATAATCATCATAGCTGCCCCTCTTCTTAGGTGAGGCTTCATATATTTGCTGTGATCACATTAGTTTGTGGAGTTTTCTGCTCTTCATGCCCTTTTTTACCTCATTTACTTCCTGTCTACAAAGAGATCCTCTTTAGAGAGCCAAATGACTAACCATGTGTCCCTCCTCTCCACCTAGGGTGGGCCTGACCACAACTACACCAAGGAGAAAATCAAGATAGTAGAAGGAATCTGCCTCCTCTCTGGGGATGATGCTGAGTGGGATGACCTCAAGCAGCTGCGCAGCTCCCGGGGGGGCCTTCTGCGGGATCATGTGTGCATGAAGACAGACACAGTGTCCATCCAGGCCAGCTCTGGCTCTCTGGATGACACGGAGACAGAGCAGCTACTGCAGGAAGAGCAGTCTGAGTGTAGCAGCGTCCATACTGCAGCCACTCCAGAAAGACGGGGCTCTCTGCCAGACACTGGCTGGAAACATGAACGCAAGCTCTCCTCGGAGAGCCAGGTCTAAATGCCTGGGTTCTCTTCCCTGCCTGCCTATCAGTATCCTCTAATGGACTTCCAGTCCTGTGCTCGCTTGTACAGCAGGCCTCCTTCCTGTGTGCTCATCCTCCTCCCACCCCATAACTTCTCCTAAGTCCTCCACTGGAGCTGTTTTCCACCTGAGTCCATAACTACCTGGCTACAAGAAATGAGGGCACTTCTCAAGAATTTAGACCTGGATTTTACCATGAACCTCACCTCTTGCACTCCGTCCTGGGCCCCCTGAAACTTGGCTCAGTAACAATTCCTTGCAGGGTAGAGCTCCACCTCCCTTTCCCCTGGTATCCTCAGTGACTGCCCCACAGCACCAATGGAGCTGATGATGCAAGACTGTCCTCTCGCCCATCACAGCTAGCATGACGGCTTCTCTGAGAACTTGCCCACCAGGGGCTGGGGCAGGGGGTCATGGATAAAGAGAGATGGATAGAGACTAGAAGAAGAAGGAAGAATCAGCCCAGCTGGTCTGGGCATCCTGGGAAACCTCCACCTTTGGGGGTTGGTAATATGAAAAAGCTTTGGGGATACTTGGGCTTGGGTGTCTTGTCCATTGCTGGCAGTGGACATCATTCTTGCCCTAGGAGTCACTGCTTTGTCAGCTACAGATACTGGTGAGACATGGATGTGGCTCAAGCTGTTCTTCCTCCTGCTGGAATGTCTGGAGTCTTTTCTACCTTAGATGACTGGGGGGTCCTCATCACATGGACACTGGCTGTTAGGAATTCTCTCCTGGTGCTGCCACTGGCCAATCCCTTTCCTAAGTCTTTTAAGTAATCAGGTTGTGAGCCAGTGGCTTCGTGAATGTTGGACCTAGGTGCTGGGTTTCTAAAATGTCTAAGCTCTGCCTAGACCAAATATAGCATCCCACCTAAATTTCAGTGTCCTGCCACTCTCCCCAATTCTCTGGGATTCTGCAGGAAGATATCCTATAATGGTAGTCTTTCAAAGGACTGGAAGTTTTCATAAATGATCAGGAAGAGAATTAGAGACATGGGATACCCAGGGGCTAAAGAGAAAAATATCACGGGGTTGAACCTCCTGTGTTCCTTCTCAAGTGCTCAGATATCTGAGTTCATGGACAGAGAGCCTGAGACTCTGAGGTGGTGTGGTTCCTATTCCAGAACTCTTCTCAGCTGTGACTTACTTTCCATGCTGAAATACCACCACTTGGTTCATGCTCATCTACATCAAGGGTATGTGTCTCAGACTTGTATCAAGGAATTGAGTTTTTGCTGCCCTGAAATTTCCCCCTAGTTCTTTACTTTTTGAGAGGCTTGGTTTGCTTTTTTTCTGACTTAGCCTTGTGGCACAAGCAATCTCCAAAGTCCTGCACCGAGGAGGACTAAATGAAGATGCAAAGGGGTGAACATATAGTAGGATGGTAGAAAGAAACAAATGAAGCCCTCCCAGCCCAGGGCAGACCCAGGCCTGTTCTCCCTAGGAATTAAAAGCAGCAGGAGAGGATGATGGGGCTGAAATTGGAAGGAAGGGGTTTTAGGAGAAGTTTCTTGATTTGAAACATCTCTTATGGTAACTAGTATTGAGAAATGAGGGGCCAAACTGTGGGTCAAAAGAGGACAAGATTAAATCTTTTCTAGTCAGTTCTTAAAAACAAACGAACTCTAGAGACAGATGCTGCGCCTTCAGCCATGCTCTCAGTAGCCAGCCCCAGGTCCAAACCTATACAAACAGCCAGGCCAGGCCAAGAAGGCTTTCCAGTGCATCAAGTGAAAAAGGTAAGGTGCCACTTCTGGGAGGAAATGGGGACATTTCCCAGGAAGTAAAAGAAGAAGCATTTGAGTCTTCAGATTCTTGGTTGGGAAGGAGGAGAAAGTAGAAAAATGGTCTTTTCTTGATTGGACAGGGGAAGGTTCTTATTGCACTTGGGCTGTTCAGAATGTAGAAGGACATATTTGAGGAAATATCTATTTGAGCACTGATTACTCTGTAAAAAAGCAAAATCTCTCTGTCCTAAACTAATGGAAGTGATTGTCCTGCGCTCATGTGTAATGGTTTTAACGTTACTCACTGGAGAGATTGGACTTTCTGGAGTTATTTAACCACTATGTTCAGTATTTTAGGACTTTATGATAATTTAATATAAATTTAGCTTTTCTTAATTATCTTGCCTGGCTTGGAGTCATGACTAATCTTACACCCGCTCTGTCTGGCAGACCCATGCTGTAGAAAACTTGCTTATCAACATCACCTCTGAGTTCTATGGGGGTTTGGGAACAGTGAAGAGCAATAAAGGGTATGAGGTTCCTGGTAGAGTTTCAGCTCAACTTGAGGAGACAAGTCCAGACAAGTTCTTCAACTTATAATACCCTTGTTTCTTCTAAAAGAGGGATGATAGGTTTCATCTAGAGTGCCAACTCATTAGTTGGTAGTAGCTGCCCTTCCACACCAATAGGAAGAGTGTCATGATCATTAGTGACATCTCTAGCACTGGAAGGAAATGTCATGGCATATATACCATGCATCTTCTATTTCTGTTTTAGATCTTTGAGGACTTCAGTGTCACAAAACTTTGATCTTGGCACCTTTTGTAGTTACTAAGAATGGAACAAATGATAATTAAGATTCCATTTACTTGCCAGGTGTGGTGGCACACACCTGTAGTCTCAGTTACTCAGGAAGCTGAGCCATGAGGTTTGCAAGTTTGAGGCTAGCCTGGTGACAATGTTTCAAGATAAAAAATAAAAAGGGCTGGGGTATAGTTCAGTGGTAGAATACTTGCCTAGCATGTGCACGGCCCAGAGTTTGATCCCCAATACAACAACAAAAAAAATCCATTTATTTTAAAAAGCTGACATCTCATAGCTTATCCAGCATATCTTAAGACTAGAACTAGAAGTTAGGGATCCTTTCTGAGGTTCTCTAATACCCATCAGTGAAAATTGGGAATCACGCTAGTCTCAAGGCTAGGTTAGATTAGATTAGAATTTAATCTAGCATAGATTAGAATTTGATGTTAAGTCTCAATAGTTTATTTTCTAAACCTAAATCATTGATAAAATAATGCCCCATTCATTCATTTCATTCATTCATTCATCCATCTCTTACTATAGGCCAGGCCCATGCCTAAACAAAACAGTTTTACAGAGCTTAAAATCTAGCAGCATCACTAACACTCCCCCACCCCCTGCAAAAAAAAAAAAAAGAAAAATAAGAAGAAGAAAGATAATGAAAGCAAGAAAGACAGAAGTCTCTCATATGTAAGTGACAAGAGATCTAAGTAGAAAGTATAATTTTCCCCAGTTTTGGCAAAGGCCAGGGTGCCAGAACAAAAACAAATGGAATAGTTCAAGGATAGCCATCTCTCTCACCCCCATTAATCTTTAAAAACAAAGCAAAACAAAAACAACAGAAAAGCGGGAATCTTGAGGATAAAGAATTTTGAGGATAAACCTAGGAAAACCAAGGATAAAACAAGGTCTGAGAATTCCTTGCCTGGTTCTCTGGATATAAACCTGAAACTGATAAGTAGGCAGAAGGTGGATCAAATCCTAAAAAAACTAGACATATTTTCTCAAACAAAATTCAAAATAAAGTCACTGCCTTTCTGTGTCATATGAACAAATTGTGGGACCTAAGATAAAAAGATCTCCAACCCACATGTTGACGCTGACCAGACCTTGGCCTGAAGAAAACTAAAAGGCAATAATGAGCATGGTCAAGAGCTGGGTGTGCAAAAGTTCTAAGTGTAATGCACTGACACTCAAAGGTATCCAGCAAGCTTTGGTTCTCAGATTTCTATTTATGGGCATAATGAATGATAAATGAAATAATATGGCTAGGGATATAGCTCAGCAGTAGATGGCTTACCTAGCATATGCAAGGCCCTGAGTTCAATGCTCACCCCACCGCACATACCACAAAAAAGAAATAAGTGGTTGGGTCCTTTTCACAATGAGGAAAGTCTATGTCTTTTTTTTTTTTTTTTTTTTTAATGGGAAGATGGCTCCACTTCCCATATGCTCCACTTAATAGGATGTATGTTTAGGGATGTTTTAGGCAGTCTGTTGAAATAGTCCCTTACTCTCCTATTTATTTTCTCTCTGGACCACTGTCCTGTTAACCAGCTGGCAGAAGCTAACAAAGCTCAGTATTGGCAATGGTTTTATATCTAATCAGGGCTTGAATTCCCAACTTTGGACTACTTGGCTTGGTGTTAAAACAGACCCAGACAACCTAATAAAGGATCTAAGTTGAAACCCAAGGCTGTTAGTCCTAAGCTGCACAATCTGCTTGTTTCATTTTATAGACAGAAAGCCAAGAACTCACATATCCTGTGCTTCCCAATGGTTTCCCTTCCATTCTTAAAAGCTTGTTGATAGCCTGCTAATGAGGTCCCTCTCTCTCCCTACTGCCTCCTCCCTCGTTCGTGGGGCTGATGTTTCTGTGGTCAAAGTTCTTGGACAGCCTGCATTTTGGAGGCTATGGAAAATGGGGAAATGGCTATGAGAAAAAAAAAAAAAAAGGCTCCTCATTCTTTCATTCAACCACTACCTATTAAATGCAAGCTGGATAGGTTGGAGGCCAGTTAAAGCACAAAACCCATAGCCATTTGAGCTCTATATTAATATTACCACTGCCATCTGCTGGGAACAATGCAGGGGCACTTGGATTGAAAGGTGAAAGGAAGTTTCATCACTGAAGCTGCTCCTCTTAAGCTAGAAATATGGATCAATGTCCTATGGTAGGGAAGCTTCAACAAGAATGCAGCAGGAGATTGCAGTGGAATAAGTACCTGTCCCAACCCTAATAGTGGCTTTTTTTTTTTTTTAAAGAAATGTTTAACAGTTACTCAGCAGCCACAATGTTTGACATCAGTTTCCTGCTTCCAGTTGTAAGAATGCTGCGATTGCTAATGCCTGCTGACCCATCCTCCTTATGTAGAATTATTGAAAGAACCCTGGAATGAGGAAGGCACACATGGTTCTAATAAATACACAGATAAATGCTCTTTGATAATAATCCTGGACTGTAAAAGTTGACTGGCAAAGCTGGGCATGGTGGTGCATGCCTTTAATCCCAGCAACTCTGGAGGCTGAGGCAGGAGGATTGGAAGTTTGAAGCCAGCCTCAGCAACTCAGCAAGACCCTGTCTCAAAAAAAAAAAAAAAAAAAGGATTGGAGATGTAGCTGAGTGGTAAAGCACCTTTGCACTGGTTCAATCCCCAGTATGAAGAACAAACATTAATTGAACACCCACTATGGGCAAGGTACTATATTAGGTTTCTATGAGGCCCTTTTCCTCCATTATCAGAATTCATCTCCTACTCCCTCTTTCTGCCTACTACTCTGTTCTAACTACACTGGTCTCCCTGTTTCTCAGACCTGTCAGACATGCTCCCAACATAGGGCCTTTGTATAGCCCTTCCCTTTGCCTGACACTTTCTTCCCCTAGATGTAGTCATGACTAACTACTTAGCCTTCTTCAGGTCTTTGTTCCAATCTCAGTGAAACCTAAACTAACCAACTCATTTAAAAAGTATATTCTTTCCTCCCCCATTTCTCTATCCTTTACCCTGTCTTATTTTTTCCCTGTTGCACATATTATCTAATAACATACTATATGTTATTTATGAATTGATTGTCTATGTCTCTTTACCATAATGTGAGCTCCATGAGTGAAAGGAAGTTTTGTTTTGGTTTATTTGTTCACTGATTATTCCAAGTACCTAGAGCAGTCCTTCTATATACTAGGTACTTAATAAATATTTATTAAATGAATGAATAAATAAATGGATTCAGGCATCTAATGCTCATCTTCTACTAGGACTACATCCCACTGGTTCAATACAAAAAAAGGATTTTGCTGGGCTGGAGTTGTAGCTCAGTGGCAGAGTGCTTGTCTAGCATGTGTGAGGCACTGGGTTCGATCCTCAGCACCACATAAAAAATAAATAAATAAAATAAAAGCATTGTGTCTGTCTACAACTAAAAATTATTAAAAAAAAAAAAAAGATTTTGCCATCTTATTCTAAAATTCTCTAGGATCCAGGCTGCACACATCCTTTCTTAAGCAAATTACAGGTCACCATCACCCTCTCCTTAAATGTAATCTTCAGTATATTTCCAATGAAATTTAAATAAAGTAAACATGCCAATGACTGAAGAAGACTATTTCTGTAGAGTCCTCGAAAGTTACCATTTAGTTTGGTTCCTCTCTTAAGTGTTAATCTGTCCTCATCTCCCATCTTTTCATTCTCTCCACCTTTTTCCCCCTTCTATAGTTTCATTCACTCTATAGAAATGATCCCCAGATATCTATCATTTGAGTCTTTATTTTCCCAGATTCCATCCTGAATTTTCTAGGCTTGCTTAGAATTGGTTCCATCTGAATGTCTCATTAGTACCTAAAGTAAACAAGTCTGAAACTAAACTCTCTGCCTTCCCCTTGGGACAGCTTCTCTTGACTTTCTCCTTCCATTTGGGCAATAACTGCCCTCCCAGTCCCTAGGCTCAAATCCTGGTACTCTTTTTGACTCATCTTTCTAAATGGGACCCATCCTTGCCTTTGTACCTAATCTAATGGATTGCTAAATCCTTCATTCTTTCTTGAATCTATTTCATCCTTTTTACTGCTGTTATCTCATATTGGATTCCAAATTGGGCTTTTAGCTCTAACTCATTTTTGATAATCAAGCTAATTAATTTTCCTAAAGTACAGTCCTGATTTTTGTCACTCTCTTGCTCAGAAACCTTCAATAGCTCCCCACTAGCTATTTATTTAAAGTAGAAATTCTTTGTCTTGGTATCCAAGACCCTCCAAGATTTATTCCTAAATTTCTCAATTTGTATTCCACTGCTTCCCACCATGAATCTTGTCCTAAAGTCAAATCCACGTATTCAATCCCATATATATATAATGCACTTTCTGTCTCTTGATCTTGCTCTTTTTGTGTGTGTGCTACTAGACATTCTCCTTGCTCCATCTATTGAAAAAAAGTAACACCCTGATTGGAGGGGAAAACCCTTTTCCTACCTTTTCCTTCCTGCTGAATTCAATCCTATTCAGTTTCTTATAATTCCAGGAATGTTCTAACTATTTTCAAGCATAAACACAC